CGGAAGCTATTTGAGCTCAATCCCTATTTGTTACCCTTTACGGAGGGTACCATAGATTCGCTACACCTGTTGGAGTTCATTTGACATTATTGTCAGTATATTTTTGTGATCTTCAGATTCATCAAGCATGCAGGTTTCCTTGTCCGAGTACATGAGGACGTACTTACGATTAAAAATTTAATGCAGATGGCACCTTTCATGGTTTAAGGTCTGTGAATGAAAGTCTCTAATTCATTAGTGTTCTTCTCATCCTGAAGTTTAAGAACATTTCGACTGCTAGTTAGAGATATTGATTGGAAAAAAAATAGATGTGTTTTTGGTCTTTCTCTGCTTGTGACTTATCCTGATTTTACCCCAGTATTTTCTAATCTTTTCAATTAGATTTGTGAGTTCGGAAATTCTGTTTGTAGGCTATGACATATTGGTTAAATATAGATTCACTACTCTCTTCGGCGTGAAAATTCAGTTACATGATCGTCGAGTGAATAAATGATCTTATTCATAGATGCTCCATTTCTGCTGTAGAAAATATCTCAGTATGAGGAAGAGTAGTGACGAATACATTTTCATACCTGCAAAATACTACAATGTCATAGTAAAAGTATCTTGTAACTTAACGGGCCATTTAAGGTATTCGGTAATGGCGTCGAGTTGGCATAACTGAAGTCATATCTGTATTTAGTTCTTAATTCTTGGTATTTGTCAATTTAGGTTGCTGTGGTTCATTGTTCTAATTTGGTGGGATGTCCAAGTTATTTAAAACAAAGCAACACTTATATACTAGCAGTCTCTCTTATTTACTGGCTTTATGGCATTACAAAGTTCTCAAACAATTTAGACTGGTAGTTATATTCGATTTTCCAAAATAACAATCTTATCTGTGATTTATCTAGGTTTTAGTCTGTATTTTCTGCGACGTACCCTCCATTTATTTCTTGCAGCCTTCATATATACTGCGGTTACTGACATCTGATCTTATGTTTGAAATACATTGACCAGATTTATATATGCAGAACTAAATCCCATTATTAGATGTGACACTTTGTTACTCATTGTGCAGTAACAATCTTATTCTTCGATTCTCGGTGGCCTATGTTTGTGTTTTATGGTTAAGGACATTGTGCTGGTTCTACTTTCAAATGCCCTTTCCATGATTTTCGCAAGGATTGCACACGATCTCTGGAATTTTCTTGACTGTATTTGTTGAAATTTGTGATGGATTATGTATCAAATATGTAATTTGGCAGTATGATTCTATATATTCTAATCCTGAAAGAATGTTTTATCTATATCTATCTATCTATATCTATACTACTTTAAAAGGAGGAGTGTTTTTGTAAAAATTCATAATGCCTAAAAAACCCTTACTTTAACATAAATTTAATGGCAAATTAATAATAATACACTAATACACATCATATTTTATTTATATTTTTAATTAAAAAATGAACTACCTAAAAAACCCTTACTTTCACATTTTTTAATGCCAAATTGGTAATATACTAATGCCATCATATCTTATATCCTCCCTATATATAATTAAAAAAAACATAACTTTTTTCAATTCAACATAAGCAAATCAATGAAAATAATATATTTTTAAAAATTTTATCAACAAAAGTTGACTCGACAATATTATTAATGAATTTATGAATTATAAATATTTAATTAAAATGTTAATTAAAAAAATTGTAATTATATATAATATAATATAGAATATACAAATATTTGATATATAATGAGGCTGATGATCGAAAAAATTCTATACTTTACATTATATCTTTTTTGACAAATCTACAGTTAAGAACATGTGAAATAACAAGATAAAATTTTAAATAAATATTAAATATATAAAATAATATGAATAATAACTAAGTTGTGACACGTATTAATAAATATAAAACAAACTAATAAACAAAAATAATATAATTAATATAACTAAATATAAAACTTCTAAAAATATACTTATCGATGTAATCGAACTGAGTTGTTAAACGCTTGTTAGTTTTTTGTTCTTATTAATTTTATGTGTAAATTTGAGGTGATAGACAATAGTTATTTGTACATTTATACATGTAGATTAGAAAAAAAAAATCTTTATTATTCTAATTTTAAATAACTTTTATATTTACTATATTATTTTTTTAATATAATATATAAGTATCATATTGAACAGATAAAACACAAAATATTTTAATTATATAATATTTAATATGTAAGAAATGTAACTCAATTTGGTAAATTAATAGGTAATCTTGGGATAAAATAATGAGTGATTTCTGAAAAAAAAAAAAAAAATTATAGGAACTAAAAAGTTCACTTGTTTAATATATTTTTAATAGAAAAATTGTAAACACAATTACTCAATAAATACTACATAAAAAAACATAAGAAATCTTATATCCTCCCTATATATAATTAAAAAAATAACTTTTTTCAATTCAACATAAGCAAATCAATGAAAATAATATATTTTTAAAAATTTTATGAACAAAAGTTGACTCGACAATATTATTAATGAATTTATGAATTGTAAATATTTAATTAAAATATTAATTAAAAAATTGTAATTAATATAATATAGGATATACGAATATATGATATATAATGAGGAAAATGATCGAAAAAATTCTATACTTTATATTATGTCTTTTTTGGCAAATCTACAGTTAAGAACATGTGAAAGAACAAGATTATAAAGTTTAAAAAAATATTAAATATAAGAAATAATATGAATAATAACTAAGTTGTGACACGTACTAATAAATATAAATGAAACTAATAAACAAAAATAATATAATTAATATAACTAAATATAAACCTTCTAAAAATATACTTATCGATGTAATCGAACTGAATTGTTAAACGTTTGTTAGTTTTTTGTTCTAATTAATTTTATGTGTAAAAATATAAACCTTCTAAAAATATGCGACGTACCCTCCATTTATTTCTTGCAGCCTTCATATATATTGCGGTTACCGACATCTGATCTTATGTTTGAAATACATTGACCAGATTTATATATGCAGAACTAAACCCCATTATTAGATGTGACACTTTGTTACTCATTGTGCAGTAACAATCTTATTCTTCGATTCTCGGTGGCCTATGTTTGTGTTTTATGGTTAAGGACATTGTGCTGGTTCTACTTTCAAATGCCCTTTCCATGATTTTCGCAAGGATTGCACACGATCTCTGGAATTTTCTTGACTGTATTTGTTGAAATTTGTGATGGATTATGTATCAAATATGTAATTTGGCAGTATGATTCTATATATTCTAATCCTGAAAGAATGCTTTATTTTACCAAAAAACGCCATGCAATCTCGCAAGATTTTGTTGTGTTGTTTTTTATATCGAAATTTTCTCCCTAGTATGAGTAAGAGTGATAACAAATATATTGTTTTGTATCTGCAAAATCCTACAATATCTTTGTTTCTTGCATCTGTATGGGACATTTGTGGTATAATGTAATGGTTCAAGTTGGCATAATTGAAGTCACATATCAAACACCAACTGAAGTAGGCATAGTAGGTGTTACTGCATTTTAATACTTGTTATATTTGCAAAAAAATCAACACCGAGGTATATATCGATTATATAATGTTCATATCTGTTCTGGTATTGTTCGGAAACATGCTGTAATTTGGCAAATCTTGACCAGCCCTTTTTCTTTCTGCTTCTCCTCAGGAAATGGAAGATGGAAAACGAACAAAACAAGTACGTACACACTTATAAATCTCATCACCATATATTTATTATTCATGTGAAAACATGTACATCTACTGTCTACTTGGAATACATGGCAACTATAATATTCGAAAAATAAGAATTAATATCTGTATGTAAAAGCAAAACCCTGTTTTACCACTTGTTAGTTTCTGATAACTCTTTCTGGTTCATTTAGTTATTCGTTTATTATGTCCCCAATCACAATTTGGCTGTTGAATATCGATTTGAGTACGACATACATTTAGGTCGACTAACTCATCGACTAGTAGGGGACAGCTTTATGTGTATCTAAATACGTTTATAAAGTTCCGTGTTCAGAAACATTCATTGAACTCATCAAAGCCTCTAACTAACAGCCAAACGATAGTGAGCCATTGGCAATGGCATTTCTGCTCCACAAGCTCTGAGAAAAAGACTGAACAATGGGAATTAGGACTGCAATTATTAAACCAAATGTCATCCACTATATGGACCATATGAAACATGGGATGCGACTGATATTCTTTCCTTTCCTGATTGTATAATTGTTATGCAGGTTTTTGGGGCCTCACTTTTGAACATTTTTCGAATTGACTTCGATGTGACATGTGCAATCAAACAAACTAGCAGTGCTCTAGTGGTCCTATGTGGGATAAATGGTGGAGATCTCTCGAACTCGAAGCGCTTTTTCTGTTTGTCTTCATGAAGCTAAAGGACAATCTTGATAGTAACCGAACTTTCCTGTAAAATAGTTCTTACGTCTGATTAGCGACACTCGTGGAGTTCGTGCAGGTATGTTTCGGAATTTGAATGGAACATTACAAGTGTTCACATTGTTTAGGGTGAAAATTTTTTAGCAGTTGAAAAGTTGATGTTTTTCATCAGCTAAAAGACCCATATGATGACCATCTACAGATTTGATGACCTTGTGCATAACTGTGGAGAAAGCTACTCTTACTAACTACTGTAATGTTTTTTGTTGAAGTTACAAACTATCCCGTCATCAAACATTCATAATCTACGACATATTTCGCCATTGAACTGCACAAAAAGCATGGATTTGATAAGTTTTCCATAAACTTGTTCTCACATTACAACAGCTTTGTTTCCTTTTCACCCTCCACAGTCTCTTCCTACTCGTCCGTCTCGTCCCTCACCTCACAACTTATTACAAAGTTACATATCTATTCACCAAATACGAAAGGGCTAATAATAATAATCCCTTCCTCAGCAAATACTTCTTCACACAACCGCCCTAAACTCTTAACCTCTGGTAAGCAAGCTTCAGTTCAACCCATCTGGACTTGCCCGTTATTCGCATCCTTCTTCTCATTCAACGCCCTAAGCGTCGACCTCCATTTACAATAAGTCCCGAACAATGCCTCCATCTCCTCTAGCGTCTTCCCCTCCGTCTCCGGGTACAATGTGTAGAAAAACACCCACGCCACTGCAACAACACTCGCGTACATAAGGAAAGCCCCTCCAATCGTAATCGCACTATACAACGATATAAATGTCATCGAAATCACCCCACTCGTCACCCTATTAGTCGCCACCGCCATCCCGCAACCCTGTGCCCGTAACTGCAACGGGAAGATCTCCGAGCTGTAGACCCACGTGATGGGTCCCATCCCGATCGAGAAGAAGCCCACGAACGAGAGGACTGCGACAATGCAGAGGGCGACGGCCCACGTGAGCCTGTGGTCTGCGCGGTCGATGACAGTGAGTCCAAGGCCCAGGCTCAGCAGGGATATGAACATCCCTGCGACGCTCGACAGGAGCAACGGGCGGCGACCGATTTTGTCGAGCAAGAAAGTGGCGACGAGGATGAATATCGTCTTAGAGAAACCAACGGCCATGGTGGCGAGGAGTCGGTCGGTGTCGGATTTGATCCCGGCCTTGTCGAAAATCTCGGGGCTATATAGGACAACCGAGTCGATCCCGCTTGCTTGCTGGAAGAAGTGTATCCCGACGGCGCAGATGAGGATGTGGCGCACGGCTGGGGTCGGGCGGAGGAGAAGGTCTCGCCACACGCCGCCGCTGCCACTGCCACTGTTGAGTTTTGGGGTCGGGACCACCACGTCGTCGTGGCAATCTTGGGGGATGCCAGCAGCCTCCTTGATGTCGGCGAGGCGTAGGGCCGACTCGTGGGTGGAGTCGGAGGTGCGGTCGAGGACCTTCTTAGCGTCAGCGAGGCGGCCCTGCATGACGAGCCAACGGGGGGACTCGGGCATGGCTAGGACGCCCACAGCGAGGAAGATGGAAGGGATGGCACCCACGCCAAGCATCAATCGCCACCCGATGTGGGCCGAGAGCTTGGAAAAGCCAAAGTTGGAGACGTAGCCTAGTAAAACACCTGTATATAAGACAAATGTTGGCTAAAGTTTATCAGTCTTTTATATTTATCCCGCATAACAAACAAGCCCAAAGTAAGTCAAGGCTGCAAAATGAAATAATAATAACAACAATAAAATAAAAAAAAAATACAATATTTCGTCCCATAAAATTTCAAAAAACATTTCGTATTCATTTTTTTCTTCTTAAAATCCGAGAGAAAATAAACAAAAATCAATAATAAAACCCAGAAAGTGAAAAAAAAAAAAAAAAATCAAATGTACCATATAATACATACCAATATTAATGAAGACCTCAGGGAAAGAAGTGAGAAATCCCCTGGACGAAGCAGGAGCCACCTCAGCAGTGTAGACAGGGGCTATCATGAGGGCATAGCCGACCCCTATGCCGGCCACAAACCGACCGACCATGAGGAAGGCGTAATTGGTGGCGAAACCCATGAGAAGGGCTCCACAGAAGAAGATTGCACCGGCAAACACAATAGTGTAGCGGCGGCCTATCCAGTCGGAGGTGCGACCTGCTGCTGCAGAGCCGAGTAGAGAGTAGACATTGATGATACCCATTATGATCTCTTTCTGGACATTATTCATGGCCAGGTCCCGTTGGATATAAATGATTGCACCACTCATCACTCCTATGTCTATATGTTACATCAACAATCAATCAATCAATTAACCACATAATAGTAATAATACAAGTACAAGGAGTAGTATATGCTTTAGCTTGATTTCATTAACTTTGTGCAGAAGATTAAAAATTTGATATAGTTATCATAAAGTTGATAATTAGTTACAAACTATATATCTCCCTACATTTTTGGAAGCGTACGTACATAGCTAAAATTTAATTTATCATAAAGAAAAATCGCGTATAAAGTACCATATCCGAGAAGGATTGAGGTCATTGAAGCTAGGAAAGAGCAAGCTAGAGCATATTTGTTTCTTTTTGGTTTTTGAGGCGGGTCGAAAGCGGGTAAATGGTTTTGGTGGGGAAAGGCCCGGTATTTCTCGGATTTCCCTTCCGCCATTGGAGAGAAAGACTGAAGACCAGCGGGTAATTTCGGTGTGTTCGATGGTTAGAGAAGGAAGAGAGTTTGGAATAGAGAATAATGAGAGTAGCGCAAATGAGTAGAACTTGGCTTTGCAGAGGAGAAAGATGGAGGAACTATATATATAGAGAAAGCGGGGTGGGACGTGAAGAGTGGGATATTTTTCTAAAAATTAAAATATTATAAACAACAGATTAGTCGGGCAAAACTTTAAATATCGTGGTTGGCTACCAAAAAAAATTATAATCAAGTGAGTTCAGATTTACCCATTTGCCACAAGTGTCACAACATATATGGACGAATGACGATTATGATGATGATCGTAGGGTGTATCAACTATCAATAGAGATTTAAAGAACTTTTTGAACTCTTAAAATTTTAAAATATTCAATTATTATTTTATTTTATTTATTTTTTTTTTTTTTTTTGGAATTTTGTGAAACTCTACATGTTTTCAATTAATATTTGTAAAGATATTTTAAGAATTTTTAAAATTTCTCATAATTTTTATAAATTGCCATACATTGAAATTAAAAAAGTAATTTTATGAGACTTTTTAAATCATAAAACTTTTTGGGAGACTTTTTTAGAAAAGTGTGAAGAAAAAGTTATTCTAGAAATCTCATCAAATTGTAACATCTCTTTTGCATATTATCAATGATGTTTGTTGTGAGTTTGTTTCTTTATTTTATTTATTTATTTTTCATAGTTCTTCTACATATGGCTATTTTAATGCCTTTTCTTTTGCTTATGATTTTATATTCTAGTATTACATATTTGTTTACCTGAGAATTTATTTATGTTGTCTTTTCGGGCATTGCAGCACGAAAAATTAGAATTTATATTTTTTTCTCAACAAATCGTAACTAAATAGAAATAGTGGTAATTAATGGTCGATTCCATGAGTTGTAAATCATGAACTTTTCGTATTAATTGGAATTATAAGAAACCGATAAAAAAGAGGAATTGAATTATAAAATATATTCTAACTAACAATGAGATAACAATAACAATAAATAAAATTAAAACAACTATATAGAAAAAAAATTCTAGTTCTCGGTTCAATATATCCATCTTTTGACTAGTTTAACTAATTGTGACATCATGTTTCATAATCTTCTGAAATTACTAGCACAAGGTATCAACACGCTCTACTACCTAAATTTTTCTATTTAACTGAAACACAACCTTCGGTTAAACTTAAATGTTGGACAATCTAAAACACGCTCTTCAGATTTAATGCAATAGCAAAAAAAAAAAATAATAATAATAGAAAAAAATTTACATTTAATCAACTATATTGTGCTATTTCTAGAAGAAGAAAAAAATGTTACATTGACATATATCAGTTTCGATAGTTTAATTTGTCAAAACGGTTAAAAAAATTTTACAATAATCACGAGCCACAAAGTTTCCGCAATACTTAGGTGCGCTCTGGCACACCTAGCAAGGTGTGCCAAAGCTTTTTTAAAATGAACATGTTTCTTTATAAAATGAATATTTGTAAACATGTTTACACATATTCATTTTATAAAGTAACATGTTCATTTTAAACTGCCAGGTGTGCCAAGGTGTACGATAGTAGCACTGCAAAGTTTCATCCCAATTGGAGTTTGTTTGTCTGTTTAAACTGCATTCAAATTAATTTAAGCCTAATTAATTCGTTGTTCTCTATTTTGAGGCCATTCTGGTGCCTTTTAGCCTAGGTTTCATTTAGATGACTCACGCATGGATTTCCCTCATCGACAAGGACGTACTCATAAACTTGCAACCTAATTAAAATTTGTTTGTCTACTTATCCCGTCTAAAGTTATTTGAGTTGTTCTATGTTCAGCCAAATGTACGTGTCGTTCGTCCGTTTCAAGTTCTTGATCCGCCTTTGGATTCTTATCATTGAAGTGATTGTATACATATACTTTTAGCACAACCGAAATTTGTGTTTGCTCACTTAATTATCGATTCAAAGTTATATGCACAAACTCAATTTTCGATACGCGTCGAGCTCATGATAAACGTAACTGTCTTTTTCCATCTCTCGTGAGTGTACTTATTTTTTAAAATGTTATTAACAAATTAATACACAAAAATGTCTATTAATATAACATACCATATTTAGGAAACAATCAATATAGTAAATCGAAAATTTGTTACTATTACCTATATTGTTTGCCTCTCAAACCCCTGCCAAATTAAACTAAATTATATGCAGAAGTTACATATAAATACAACTAATACATGTGTAATGCCCAGACCGGCTAAGGACCACCTTGAGCTCGCTCTCCTCGTCAGTAGAACGCCGAAACCTGCACGGAACTATCACACCAGAGAGATTTTCCGGTGAAGATCCTCCAACGCTCAAGTCAGTCTTGAAAAGAAAAAAATATACATAGTGTTTAATAGATTGTGAGATTGGTTGTAAAAGTGAGAAACCCCACCCTTATATATAGGAGTGAGTTACCTGCCCTAGGAGCTGCCCAGATAAGCTGAGCTAGCTCCCCAGCTGCTCGGTCGTACACTCCACTGCCTCCACTACCTTAGCTCAGGAATGTGTCAGAATATGTTAAAAATCATTATCATCATATACCAATTAGCGTTCGCCACGTGTCTTTCGCACACGTGTTGGAGATTCTATTGGAGGCTCTGATTTTCGACCAGATCTGGGCAGGCCGTTGAGCTGCCCCTAGAGTAAAGGGTGGTCGATCCCGCACCATTCATATTCGACCGCCTGGCACTTCGACCAGGACTCCGTAATAGCATACATGAAGACTTAGTCAATTTTTACATTTACCTCTCTTATTCTTTTCCTCATTTGTACGTATGCATGGCTCCTCCATGCCCATGTGGCTTTCCTCTTTTCATGTATAAGTTGTCTTATTATTGCTTTACATCTTTACCATTGATATGGATCCTAGGGTCGATATTCTTTCAGTCTTTTTTATTTAAGTCACACCATGTTCCCTTTCTAGGGTTAATCAATCAATATCATTTCATAGCAGCTGTTTGTTTCCTTGTTTGTCGACTGTTTCCATATCTGTGATTGTAAGCTCTCGATAATGGCGATCGATATCGGCCATTATGGTATCAGAGTGGGTTGATCATGACCTGTCTCTATATCTTATCAGATTCCTTACATTTTTAGATCTCAAATCCTTGCCTTTATTCTTTTCTTTTGTCCAGTTTCATTTTCTTAGCTTTCAATGGCAAGCTCAACATCAGATTCCTCAAGCTCTGCACAGGCCTCACCCGTGATACAACCTCAAGCACAGCTGGTTACCATCAAGTTGAGTGAAAGCAACTACTTGATGTGGAAACATCAGGTCTTGGCCACTGTTAGAGGTTATGGACTCGAAAGTTTCATTCTTGGCACAAATTCACCACCACAAAGATTCATCACGGATGAGAATGGAGTTCAAACCACACTCAACCCTCTCTATTTGAGTTGGCAGAAACAAGACCAATTGTTGGTTTCTTGGCTTTTGAGTTCTCTTACTGAAGAGATCCTTGTCAACACAGTGGGATTAAACACCTCAGCTGAGATCTGGGAGTCACTTGAGCTCGACTTCACCACTCAGTCTAGGGCCAAGGTCATGCAAATCAAGTCTCAGCTTCATAACTTGAAGAAAGGTGCACAGACCATGAGAGAATACCTGAACAAGATTAAGGCCTGTTATGATGCACTTGCAGCTGCAGGAAACTCTTACACTGAGGATGACCACATCTCTTCAATGCTAGATGGCCTAGGACCTGAGTATGATTCTGTCTCTATGTCAATCAACTCAAGAATACCTCCTTGCAGCCTAAGAGAAGCTCAATCTCTACTGTTGACATTTGAAAGCAGAATAGAGAGAAACACCATAAACTCTCTTAATGGTGATGGCTTTAGAGGTTTTGCTAACATTGCATCTCAGCAAGCAGCAAAGAGAGAAGGTTTTTCTCCCAGTCCTAGCACTAGAGAGAGGTCAAACCAGACTAGGGGTGGCTATAGAGGAGGCAGATCTGGAAGAAACAACAACTATAGAGGAAGAAGAGGTAGAGGCAACTTTGTCAAGTGCCAAATTTGTCAAAAAGATGGACATACAGCTGATAGGTGCTACAGCAGGTTTGATCAATCCTATACCTAACCTCAGAACAACAACTTCAGAGGTCAATCTGGTTATCAAAACATGGCCAACATAGCCAACTTGAGCTCTTACAGTAGCAGCACTTATGGAGGATCTGATGGCAATCAAAACTTTCAAGATTCACAATGGCTACCAGACTCAGGAGCAACTAATCACATCACTGCAGATTTGAACAATCTCAACATTGCTACTGAGTATCATGGTGATGACAAGATAGAAATGGGAAATAGTGCAGGTATGCCTATCACTCACATTGGCTCATCTATGATTAAATCTGTCTCAAATAAGAATCATCCATCCATCCTAAACAATCTCCTATGTGTACCTCATATAACCAAAAATCTTTTGAGTGTCTCTCAATTTGCTAGAGATAATGGGTTATATTTTGAGTTTCACCCATTTTTTTGTCTTCTTAAGGACCAAGTCACAGGGGAGATTCTTCTCAAATGCAAGCTTATTAATGGCCTTTACTATTTTGATATGATTCAAGCCAAGGAAAGTAGAGTTGCAGCTTCTCATTCTCATTTCAGAAAGCTCAAACCTCAGACTCATTCTGCCTTTGTCAAGAATAAACTTAGCTTAGACCTTTGGCACAATAGATTAGGGCATGCTTCCTTTGATATTGTAAAAAAGGCTCTTAAGAGCTGTAATGTTGACTTTTATGACAATTGCAGCAGACCTTTGTGTTCCTCATGTTTCATGGAAAAATGTCACAAATTGCCTTTTGATGATTCTATTGCTGATTATTATGATGTTCTTGAGCTTATTTATATTGATCTATGGGGACCTTGTCCCATTAAATCTGCCACAGGTCATAGCTACTACATTAACTTTGTTGATCATAGAACTAGATTCACT